TAAGTAAAAACAGTTCTCAACAATATTAGATGTTGCTGGACCTACAAGTAAAAACAGTTCTTAACAATATTAGATATTGCTAGACCTACAAGTAAAAACAGTTCTCAACAATATTAGATGTTGCTGGACCTACAAGTAAAAACAGTTCTTAACAATATAAGATATTGCTAGACCTACAAGTAAAACACAGTTCTTAACAATATTAGATGTTGCTGGACCTACAAGAAAAAAACAGTTCTCAAAAATATTAGATACTGCTTGACCTGTAACTAAAAACAGTTCTTATCAATATTAGATGTTGCTGGACCTGTAAGTAAAAACAGTTCTCAATAATACTGATATTGTGTAGTAAAACTGACTAGAATAGTGATACTGATATTGGACTGATTTCCTTCTGAAGTCTGTGTCGTTAGTCGTTCTGTTGTAATGTAGGTAAATGTTGGACTGATTTCCTGTGTCGTTAGTCGTCCTGTTGTAATGTAGGTAAATGTTGGACTGATTTCCTTCTGAAGTCTGTGTCGTTAGTCGTCCTGATTTCATTCCCAGCTGAGCAGAGAATGTGAAAGGAAATCAGTCCAACATTTACCTACATTACAACAGGACGACTAACGACACAGGAAATCAGTCCAACATTTACCTACATTACAACAGGACGACTAACGACACAGGAAATCAGTCCAACATTTACCTACATTACAACAGGACGACTAACGACACAGGAAATCAGTCCAACATTTACCTACATTACAACACATAATGAAGTCCTTACTGATTAGACAATTGAAACGATCAGCTATACACAAAGATCTCTACATACTAATAACGGAAAATATAAATTAAGGTGTAAACCATCACTTAATAAGCTTAAGGTGTTGAAATGTCACATTTTTTGCCTATTCTAGCATGGTTTTCAAACGTGCAGCAGCCAATGCAACTACCAATACTAACAATGTAATCGTAAAGAGAAGAGCACAAGGGTGAAAAACGAATTGTTCATTTCTGGCATCATGGGAAATGTTCCCCTACAGCTTCTTGTGTCCTTTTTTGAGTTATATGCTGATACTTACATCGATAAGCAATGAAAAAGTTCTTAGATGTTCAGTCACAACATCAGGTTTGTACCCACTGCTTTAAGAAATATAAAGCATGCTACTCTGTAGACAGTAGCTTCTTATTGGCAATTACTGAAATTTAAGTTTTTGAAACAAAAATAATAACCATAATTAAGAGGACTGTACAGAAAGGTAAGCAGTCAAAGATTAGAATTTCATCACACAGATTTTTAATACAGGCTTTTTATGGAGTTAACTTCGTTATTGCTCTTACCTCACCAGAGCTGTCTCGTATCCTCTGATTAAACTCTTTTCCTTCAAGCACCAGAAAGTTGTCTCCAGGTTTAATTATACCACACTTCATGGCTATGGAGCGAGCCGTATTTATGTTGTCTCCAGTTACCATCCTAACAGTTATGCCCGAGCACTGACATTTTCTTATAGCCTCGGGCACCTGTGAGAAATGGAACTCGTATGCATTCACAAATTCACAACACGAGTCTACCTAAAATAAGCAACTATAAAATATTATTCCTGTAATAAATAATGAAGTAACTTCCCCAAGAGAGAGAAATAATGCCATAGATAACAGAATTAGCTGGATAAATGGAAACATAGATAACTTTCCAACACACTTATCTGGTATTAATAGTTCTCTACCTCTGGGCGAACAGGATCTTCAATGCCAACCACACACAAGCACGTAAAATTACATAGAATGTGGTCTTCTTCGTCCCATGGAGGCTCTACATCATATTGCACCTGATTCATGTCTGGGTTTCTTCGAACGTAATCTTTGTATGCCAGGCAAATGGTACGCAGGCCTTCACAAGCCATAGGTTCGATCACTGTTCTCACGAGTTTATCTTGAGCCTCTTGGGAAAACCTTTCTAATTTGCCATCTGTTCCCAAGATATAAGAACACCTGGGAAATAAATAAAAAATATTGGTGAGGTTCTGATATTAACGATACATTGATTTCAAAACAAATTTTAAAGATATTATTACTGAAACATTAAAACACCTCAATAAGTAACTGACTATATTATCAAAACTCTTAAATACTTAACAAACAACTTTCATTCATGTAATAACTTATAGTAATTTAACATATTTAACCTTGTAAGAAGAAGTTAATGTTGAAGAAACATGTACTATAGTACTTGCCGAGTTATGTATTTATAAAATCCAAACAAAGATGCTAATGAAACGTTTTAGGAACCAATTACGAAGTATTCAAAGATATGTCATTTCCAGGAATTGATTTGAAAGCTAATAAAGATGTTTATAACGTGAATAAAAGGCTTATCAAAGATATGTCAGTTACAGCAATTGATTAGAAACCTGACAGAATAAAAGGCTTATCAAAGAATGTCAGTGTCAGGAATTAAAAACCTGATAAAGACGTTTACAACTACAAAAAAAAAAAAGCTTATCAAAGAATGCTAGCCCCACCTAGATTTCTTGTTTTCCAATTTTAAACTTTTATGTGTCAACACAATTAGAAATATAGAATTATACGTTCAGCGGTTTGGAAATGTTTTCTGAGTGGCATCAACTAGGCAATATCTTACAGAAACACTGGAGGGAGATAATATATGTTATATTTGCTGAATAATTAGACATTCGATCAAAACTTAACACTTTCACAAGTATGGTAAAATTGCCATAAAACTTTTGAAGATGTACTTTTTCATGACCATTTCGGAGGCTCCTTTGGTGTAGACTCGAAATCCATTTTCAATGGGAATAACCGTACTCATTGATTTTCGAACAGAGTTGAAGGTGTAAACTTTGTGTAACTTCTCTTCTGGGATATCATCTCGAACAGTCTGATAATCTCTGCCTAAATCTAGAATAAAACCGAGCAGGGCACACTCTGTCTTATTGCCTACTTGTTTCGGTAGGTCCCCAGGGTTATCTGGAGGCTGGGGGATAAAAAGTTTTTTAATCGATAATTAAACTAAGATTTAATCATTCATAACTTTCAATAGGTGAAAACACATAATCTTTCTTTATTATTTGTCATGGAGTCGAATTTGATAACATCAATTCACAAGATATACTTGAAACATTTTGAGAATATCTTTAACTACATGAATGTGAAATAGTCGAGACATTGTAGAATATTTTATGCTAAAAATAATATAAAACTGAACATGTATCCTGTTGATTATTTTCCTTTAATAGAATTACACAGAAAGAAATTTATGATTTTTTTTAGTTTGTTGATTAAAAACGAGGTGGAGTTGATTTAAGAGAAAAATAAAGGTGGACATACATCAATCTTATAATGCATTCTTTGGGACAAGTGTGGAAGTTTTGATTGATACTAGAACAGCTACAAATGTCCCCACATTTAAAGTTACAAGTTAGCAGAATTAATTGTGAGTTTATATACTAAAAATACAAAATAAATTGTAAAGTTGGATAAAAAAAATGTATCATGCTAAATAAACTGTTTTTATCTGTTTTATTACAAAAATGGAGAAAATGAAATAATGCTTCATTAAAATTATTACAAAACTTGCATATTTTTACAATCACAGTTCCGATAAAACTCGGGACATGTTTGCAAAAGTACGAGAGTTTAACGTCTACATTAGATTATGTAAAGAAAGATTTCGATACACCATAATATACTTGTAATGTAAAAAGAAATGTCTTTAGGTAACAACACAAAAAATGTCGAAACAACACTGATGTTTAAAGTGGTACAATTTATATAAAACTATTGTAAGTAGATTAATGTTTTTATACTCACCATCTACAACAATTTATATAAAACTACTGTAAGTGGATGAATGTTTTTATACTCACCATCTACAACAATTTATATAAAACTACTGTAAGTAGATGAATGTTTTTATACTCACCATCTACAACAATATATATAAAACTACTGTAAGTAGATTGGTGAGTATAAAAACATTCTCTACAACAATTTATATAAAACTACTGTAAGTAGATGAATGTTTTTATACTCACCATCTACAACAATTTATATAAAACTACTGTAAGTGGATGAATGTTTTTATACTCACCATCTACAACAATATATATAAAACTACTGTAAGTGGATGAATGTTTTTAAACTCACCACCTACAACAATTTATATAAAACTACTGTAAGTGGATGAATGTTTTTATACTCACCATCTACAACAACTTATATAAAACTACTGTAAGTGGATGAATGTTTTTATACTCACCACCTACAACAATTTATATAAAACTACTGTAAGTGGATGAATGTTTTTATACTCACCATCT